TGGTTATACCCTATATATTGTAGCTGACACACATCCCTTTGACATAGTTTCTCAGAAAGATTTTATCTGGAATATTGTGGTCAACATGCATAATTTTGGCTAACTACTGAGCCAGTATGTCTTCTGTAGAGAGAGAAGGCATATGACATATGTGATTTAGAAATGTATCAGTAATTGTAATTCTACATAGCAGAATATGCTATCAATTGTTTTCTTTTCATCTTTCATCTTTACCCTATTTTCTCAAACAATAGATTATCTGAAGATAATCTGAAGATAATCAGATTTACTGAAGATAATCTGAAGATAATCAGATTTACTGAAGATAATCTGAAGATAATCAGATTACTGAAGATTCTTGAAGCTTTCATATACAAAAATCCTTGTCATCACAGTCTATTAACAGTCTAGTCATCACATAAAATCTTTTTGGATGTTAATAGCTATAATTCTAGAGTTTATATTCCTTGCTAAATTGCAGTATGCATGAATATGATTTTATTGCATCCTGTCAGTAAAAATAACTTAAAATGTCCTGAATATTCACATAAAAATAAACCCATCCAATTTTCAATTGATCACACACATCCTCTGAGCCTGAAAAAAAAAACATTGCCTACAAAATCCATAATTGAAAAATAAAATGGCATATATTCATGGTGCATACTTTATTGTTAAAGGATTACAAAAAATAACTGAGTTAGCATATTTTCACTTAAATATACTTACCTTTGTACATTATCAAGAGGAGAACACAGAACACAGAATACAGAATGTATCTTTGAAAGGACTTACCTAGTTATTTAAATAGTGGAATAATAATAGACTGTAAACATAAGGATGAAGAGAGAAATATGGCAAGCATCATAAAAGACTATGAAGGTAGTCTGTTAAAAATAGTACAATGAAGATATAAAACAATAGGAATATTTATGGGATAATGTCAAGACAAAGTCATCACTTAAAAATAATCACCAAAAGACAAATATCATGTTCTCTATGATATAAGGCAACCTTCCTGCAAAATACAAAATCAACAGATACATAGGTAAATTTGCCTGTACAAATATTCCTTTAGAGGAACTGTGTAATGGAGACTAGCATACCAAGAAGTCAAGATACATTGCAATATGCACCTGTCCTCCTGAATGAAAGCTGTCCTCCTCATTCCATTGTCAAATATATCTTGACAATAGAATGCTGAACTTTCTGCCAGTCTCTGTATTGACAATCAGGATACCCTTAAATAGCAGAATGATTGACTTGTGACTGTTGGTGAAGGACTATACTATTGTAACAAGATAGGAAAAATCAGTGAGGGTTAAAGAGTATGGGAGAGTGAAAGTGGAAATCACTGAGCCTATGGAACTGTAAACTAGGAAATATAAAAATATATATAATTTTGTTTACTATAAATGGACTAAATTCTCTCATTACAGCTATAGAATGACTTAATAGATTAAAAAATCCTCCTATGTTATGTCTGCAAGAAACTCATTTCATCAAAACCAAGATACAGACTGAAGATAAGCTATAAAAAAGTATTGCAGGAAAATAGAAATAAAGACCTAACAGAAGTAACTTTCATAATACAAGTCAATAGAGGAAAACAAAACAACCAAAATGGTTAAATTGTTAGAGACAGAGAATTTTTTTAATATAATTAAGGGTTCAAAACACAGGAAGATATGAATATAGTAAATGGATATATTACCCAAAAGTATAGATGTGGTTATTTAAAACAGTTGATAATCTAATGGAAGACATATACATCACTAATATCATAATGGGAGAATTCCATTCTTCATTTTCATCACTGGACAGATTAATAAGCTAAAAAGTCCATAAACAACAGAGCTGATCTATAGCATCAACCAAATGGGTCTACAGAACATTTTCTCTCACAAACACAGAATAATTTATCGGTGATGAGACATTCTCTATGCTAGATCATAACATGAAACTAAACCTTTTTAAAAGAATTGTACCAATAAAATGAAACTAGACATTAATAATATAAGAAATTGTAAAAAAAAATGTAAATATAGAAACTGAAGAAAATGCTTCTGAATAAATAATAAGACAGTAAATCTAAAGAGAAATTCTGAAAATTCATCTGAAATAAATAAATATGACAATGCAATGTATCAAAATGAATGGGATACAGCAAAAAGAAACATTAAGGAGAAAATTAATAGCAATTAGCGTCCACATCAAAAAATGGGATGAAAAGCAAATAGTCAAGAGACACATGAAAAATGCTCCTGATCACTAACCACTAGGGAAATGAAAATAAACCAGTGTACCTAAGTTAGAATGGCCATCAGGCACTTATCTGTAAACAAACAAACAAACAAACACTTTGAGGATGCCCTACATTCAGGATAGGGACCCAAATACAGGAGTCATAACCTGTTGCCTCCCAGGGCAGTGCATGATCAAGAAGCTGGATCAGAAATAGTCAAAACTGGAAGTAGGCAAAACCCAAACGGTGCTGTAACCATGGCACCACAATGCCTGCTACTGAACTTGCATTCTGGCTTCCCTTCTTCTGACCCTGCTTCCTTCTAGTGCACAGCCTGGGATGTGGCACATAGAAGTACTTGAGTCCCCACCACACATTTAGGGGACCTGGATGGAGTATTTGGCTCCTGAACTGAGCCTTCTTCAGCCCCAGCTGTTGCAGGCATTTGGACAGTGAGCCAACAGCTGGCAGAACTTTCCCTCTGTTTCTTGTTCTCTGTCACCCTGCTTTGAAGTAAGTCAATAAGTTCGTATAAGCGCACACACACCTATAAAGAAAAACTCTAATTTAGCAAAAACAAAAGAGTAGAAAAAATACCAGAGTTGGGTATAAAATGTATGTAAGATTTATTTGTTTTTATTGGAAGGACAGATTTAATCATGGAAGACAGTATGGAGATCCTTCAGGAATTTGAAAATAGTTCTACATTATGACTATTTCACTTCTGAAAATGTAACTAGAAGAAATGAAATCAGCATAGGTTTCCATCGTTTGTTCCCTTATGTTTATTTCAGCTAAGTTACGGAATCAATACAAACAAACGGCAATCAACCGATGACATATACTCTATATATGTATGTGTATAAACAGGAAAAGTCCCATTCCCCTGGCTGGTTTTTATTTGATTCATCGCAGAACCTATCCAGTGATCAAAGTCTCACTCCCCAGAGTTTTGTCAAAAAAAAGGAAAAATGATGATGACACCACATTGGTTTAGCACCGCAGCTGCTTGCAGAGACAATACTGTTGGACAATCAGAACCCTGTCAAAAACTCCAAAGAAAGGCTATGAAATGAGTTATCCACAGAGCCTGTTACAAAACCTGATATATTCCTAGGGACCTGGAAGCACATCAGGACTGACCATGTCCTTTTTCTCACCCTCATCTAACTTAGAATCCCTAGGCTAACAGGAAGTGAGGGCTTCTTCGGGACAAACAGCTTTGTGTATGTAAGGTGCTTCTTGACATACACGCATATATATGTATATATTTATGTATATATGTGTATGCATATGTATATATATATGTATGTGTATGCATATATGTACATATATATATACAAAAAGCACTTAGCAAAGAGTGGGAGATTTTTGGCTTCAATGCATGGAAACAAATTCCTCTAGCAGAGAGTTGAAAAGAACAGAAACATCAGTGACCACAAAAAACAAAAACTTCAGATTGTAAAATCTGAATAAATAAGGGCAGGACAAACTCTGTGGACGGGACAGGGAAATCTGATTTCTTCTGTATGCACATTCAACTACTTAAAATGTCCAGTTTTCATCTCTACAAACAAAAGGATGTGCAAGCAAGCAGTTCATGAATCAAGGCTGGCACTCAGGAAAAAGCAGTTAATTAAAAATTATATCTAAGAAAGCTCAAATTCTGCACTTCACATATTTTATAAGAAAGAAAATTTTAAGGATGTTTAAAGGAAATTTTGACAAAAATATATCATCAAATTAAGATTAAAAATAACTAAAAAGATATTCTGAAGCTGCAAATGACAATAGATGGTAGAAGAAAAAAGGAATCATCAGAATCATGTTAAAAGCATATTTGAATGACTAAAAGATCAGATAAAAATGAGAGGGGTCTGACGCGATAACATAGCTGCTAAAGGTCTCAGCTTAAGTTCACCGGGATCCCATATGGGTACCAGTTCTATCCCGGCGGCCATGCTTCCCATCCAGCTCCCTGCTTGTGGCCTGGGAAAGCAGTGGAGGACAGCCCAAAGCCTTGGGACCCTGCACCCGCGAGGGAGACCCAAGAGAGGCTCTGGGCTCCTGGCTTCGGATTGGCTCAGCGCCAGTTTGTTGTGGCCGCTTGAGGAGTAAAACATCGGACTGAAGATCTTCCTCTCCGTCTCTTCTTTCCATGCATCTGCCTTTTCAATCAAAATTTTTAAATCTTTTTAAAAAGCCCAGAGCACAGTAGGCTCCGACCTCACTTTCAAAGCTGCACCTCCCGAACGCCCCTCACGAGTCCCGGACACAGCTGAGCCGGGTCCGCCCCTCCTCGTCTTGCTCTCGGCCTTCCTCCCACCCGCCATGGCGTGCCGATGGGGTCCGCCTCTCCTCGTCCTGCTCTTGGCCTTCCTCCCACCCGCCATGGCGTGCGGATGGGGGTCCGCCCCTCCTCGTCCTGCTCTCGGCCTTCCTCCCACCCGCCATGGCGTGCGGATGGGGGCCACACTGGCTTGCCTCCTCCCGGCAAGGGCGGCCTCCATGGCTGACAGGGACTCTACCCGCATGCTTTAGGCTGGTCTCTCTTTGGTTGCTGAGATTGCTGTTTCTGCTGTTCTTTGGGGTAGCTGTTTTTATTTTCTGCTTTATGGCCACAGCAGAGCGAGGAATGCAGAACCAGCAGGGTGAGACCAGCCGGCCGGCAGGAGGGGAAGGACCGGAAAGGCCTGCTGATGGGCCCGGACATTGGCGTTACCCCGCTTCCTGCTTCCTCTTTCTCTTTCCAACCATGGCGGGCTCCGCGACTGGCGCCGTGCGTTGCCTTTGGTGCGGTGAGGGGAACAGCACCATCTTTGCTTTCCTGTTTCTCCTCTGTGTTGGTGTTTGCGTTGCTACTTGTGGTACTCTTTGGTTTTGCTATTTTAGTGTTCTTTTTTCTGCCCGTCACTATAAGCAATGGAAAGAGAGGAGGGCACAAAGCAGGAACGAAGAAGCGAGGTAAGACCGGCAGGCCGGGCAGTGGACAGGGAGGGACCGGAAGGCCGGGGAGGCCGGGGGGAGGCCGGGGTAAGGCCGGGGGGAGGCCGGGGAGGATGGAGAAGGCTGGGCGAGGCCAGGGGAAGGCCGGGGGAAGGCCGGGGAGAACGGGGAAGGCCAGCGAGGACGGCGGAGGACGGAGAAGGCTGGGCGAGGGCAGCGGAGGACAAAGAGGACGGGGAGGACGGGGAAGGCCGGGCGAGGACAGGGGAGGACGGGGAAGGCCGGGGAGGACGGGGAAGGCTGGGCGAGGCCAGGGGAAGGATGGGCAAGGGCAGTGGAGGATGGGGAAGGCTGGGCGAGTATGAGGAAGGCTGGGCGAGGCCGGGGAAGGACGGAGGAGGATGGGCGAGTATGGGGAAGCATGTGGGAGAACGGTGGTGCAGCAGACAGAGAAACTGGAGGGAAATACAAAGCATGAAAGAAACTTGTGCCCCACAGTGGCTTCAGTCAGCTAGGCCGTGCACGTTTTTGGCGGCGGGAAATTTTTTTTTAAGCCTGCTTTTTTTTTTTTAAATTTCAAAGCTTTTTTATTTATAGGACAAAAGGCTTCTAATTATTATAATATTGTACCTATGTTTGCTTTTAATTTTTTTTAGATCTTTTTCTCTTTTTCATATTGAAAAAAACATTAGATTTTACTTTCATAATTTGAAAAATTATGAACTATTTTAGGAGTTACCTAGATTCATCTTTAAAGTTCATCCAGTGAGAGATGCCTTTTAAAACTATATTATAATGTCAACAAATTTCAGCTTATTAATCATTGTGCTTCCTTTTTCCTGTATGCGTCAATTGAACATTTTGAACCATGAAATTTTCTGATTTTGATCATTCACAAAAAGCTTTATTTTAATCAATGGAATGGTACTTTACTTTCCTTGTAGCTGATTACTATTGCTGATTTGAAGCATAGTTTGACTTTTAAACCATCTTTTTTCTCTTGACATTGATCCGTTTATAATCAGAGCTCAGGCATCTTGGTAATGAGTTTGGGTGCTGTGCATGCTCATGAAATGCTGCCGAGAAGATTCTTGAAAATGTTTCGCGTAGCTGCTTGTTTCTTCATTTGCATAACAAGTATTGTGCGTACTACTTCCTTGTAGGATACAGATTTCTGACATTTGATTTGTGAAGTTTAGGATCTTGGTACTATAGAATGAAAGATCATGAGCACAAAGATTTCAACTACGGGTTAAACGGTTTAACATCCGCAAAATGTGCCATTAATAATATAACTATTAATATTTAAGACTTTTCTTAAGAACCTTGAAATCTCTTTCAAGATATGGGTCTGTGGTGGCTCTTATACACAGTGAACTATGGACATCTATGGAAATGTATCATAAAATAATTAATTAAAAAGGCTTATTTTTACAGAAAAAAAATGGTTGCAAATTTTATTTAGGCTTCTAGTCTTTATTGTAAATGCAGTATATGGATTAGCCCATAGTGCGAGTTACACTAAAATTTTGATTAATTTTGGATTTTAAATTGTACAAAATTATTGCCATTTTTAATTGAAATGGGTTGGTTAATAAAGTGTTAGCAAGTCAAATGGAAAAAAAGAGACCAAAAATGTCTTTTCAAAAACAGACGATATTCCTAGAACTGTACCTATGAACTACCTGGAATCTATTTTTGTATTGCTATCACAGCATGATAATTAATGGGAATTGCTATTACATTGAAAATCAAGTGTATTATTTAAAATTAATTTAAAACAATATCTAAACAAAAAAGTATAGCAAAAGAGGAAGAAGATGTAAAATTTACAGTATTTTATTGACAGAAAGTGAGTTCAGCCAAGACTACACAGGAAATCTGATTAAGTAGAATTATATTGTGAGAAAACAATTGTGCATTTAATTTGTGCTGGCGACAGGGCTCCCTCCTTGTATCAGGGCATTAAAATTAGAAAAGGTACATGACAATAGAATAAATTTTAATTAAAGATGGTTTTATTTCCTTTGTAAATAAGGTCTGAAAGTCTCGAGACAGTGTATATTATTCAAAAATTAAATAAGACAGACAATTTAAGTCAGATTAAGTTGGGTCTTAGTATCTTGAAATTCTGAATAGGGGATTTGTTTTCAGCACTACTTTGAAGCTAGGAAAGATAAAATACGTGTATAGATATTGATCCACTTTGTCTCAACTGTTTTATGTGGACGCTTCAAAAAGTGCATGACAAAATGGAATTATAAGGTAAGTCTTTTCTTTTTGTTTTAAATTACATTTCATTTTATGACACAGTTTTATAGGCTCAGGGATTCCCCCAGCCCCTCCCCAAACCCTTCCCCCACGGTGGATTCCTGTAGTACAGTTCAAATTCAGTCATGATTCTTTCATTGCAAACATGTGCCATGCATAGTGTCCAGCATCTTATTGTCCAGGTAAATTCAATGGTTGCTTGGGGAGACCATCTCTGGTCTGAAGATGGAGCTGGCAGAATATCTTTCCAACCAATTAAAAGCCACAGCATAAAATCAACAGCAATTTACAACATTACGGAATTAATTGACATGTATTGAGTAACCAATATGTTAGAAAATGCAAGTTCTTGGGCCCAGCGTGGTGGCACAAGTGGTTAAGGTCCTTGCTTTGCATGCCTGGGATCCCATATGGGTGCCGGTTCTATCCTGGCAACCCCGCTTCCCATCCAGCTCCCTGCCTGTGGCCCAGGAAAGCAGTCGAGGACGGCCCCAAGCTTTGGGACCCTGCACCCATGGCTTCGGATTGGCATAGCATCAGCCATTGTGCTCACTTGGGGAGTGAATCATCGGACAGAAGATCTTCCTCTCTGTCTCTCCTCTCTGTATATCTGCCTTTCCAATAAAAAAAAAAAAAGAAAGAAAGAAAAGAAAATGCAAGTTCTTAACCACATCCTGTGACTACTTCATTGACATTTAAATTTTAGTTTATACACGACTGGCTTCTATTATTCCACTGTCTCAAGTCTATTTTCATTTTTGTATTTAGCAGTTTATAGTGTTGAAGCTTGATTTTGCTGAACCTGGCAGATTGTAGGGTAGTTCAAACTGGTTTACAACTCTAACAAGGCGTATGTCAACAGTTGAGGCGCAGAACAGTTTGAGGAGGGGTGTGCAGAGAAATCTTCAATACCTCAGTGAGGAGTAACTAACCTTTGTGCCCTACCTAGTAAGGTATATGTGAATCCACACTGACCATTTGCTGTCTGCTTCTAAGCTTTCCTTGTTGTTCTCTATCTATTCTAATTTTGGGGGGGGGGGGCGATGCTGGGGACCCTGAGTGACCCTGATGGTCATTGCAATAGGAGGTGGGGATCCAAAGTTGGAACTAAGTAAGGACCAGAGAAAGCTCCCCTCCCAAGTCCTGAAGGGGGTTTACTGTTCTTCTGTTTTTGAAGTCTGCTCAGGGCTCCTGGCTATTGTTCCAATGTCATTGGCTCCTGTGAAGGAGGGCTCTGGGCATCTTCCATCCCATGTGGGAGATTAGAAAGGGAGTGGATGACCTCAGAGTTCTTGGCCTACAAGGGCAGTCCAGTTCCCCGTGGTCTCCTTGGCAATTGGGATATAGACCTTGCTGTCCATACTGATAGTCCTTAATGAGGATCTGGGGTTTGCTTTAACTTTAATGTTAATACAGTATTTATTTGATCATTCCTTCTGTTGAAACATTCGTGCTTTTGAAAAAAGCCCTCAGAAATATTATTTCCCTTTCTAAAATGTATGGATTAATATTTCTGAAGATTTATTTGTTTTTATTGGAAAAGTGGACATACAGAGAGGAGAAAAGACAGAGAGGAAGATCTTCAGTTCGATGGTTCACTCCCCAAGTGGCCGCAACAGCTAGAGTTGAGCCAATCCGAAGCCAGGAACCGGGAGCTCTTCAGCTCTCCCACACGGGTGCAGGGTCCCTAACACCATCCTCAACTGCCTTCCCAGGACACAAGCAGGGAGCTGGATGGGAAATGGGGCCACTGGGATTAGAACTGGTGCCCATACGGGATCGAGTGTGTGCAAGGCGAGGACTTTTAACCACTATGCTATCGCACCAGGCCTGGTGCTGGGAAATTTTCAAAGAAATCAAAAAGCTAGGTTTTTTATGTGAGATTATCAAATTGTGTATTCCTTTTTATGCATGAAATTATCAAATTGTGTATAGGCATAAAGAGTTTTTTGCAGGAGGAGGGAGGGAAGGTCACAGATGGCTTCATGAATGCCTTTCTGTGGCACAGACAGAGCTGAGGCCTCATGGAGACTGATACTTACTTTCCCCAGGAGAGCAGAGCCATCCTACATAAACACACCATGCTACGTAAACGTAGGAGGAGGAGGTGGAGAAGGACCACAAGAAGCAGGAGGAAGAGCTGGATTACCACGAGGACGTGGTCCTCCTCCAGGAGCTGGAGGACCACAAGGAGGTGGAGGAACAGGAGGTGAAGCAGCAGAAGGTGGAAGACCACAGGGGGAGCAGAAGTTGGAGAAGCATGTGGAGGACCTTGCTGTGAGAAACAGAGCCGAGGCCTCCTTACTAATGCTGCATCCTCTCCAGGTGTGCGTTTGAGGTCTCCTTCACCCACACAACAAGGAACAGGACATGGAGGACAACAAGGAGGAAGCAAAGGACTAAGAAGAGCCAGAGGTAGAGAACAACAAGAAGGAGGAACAGGAGTTGGAGGAGCTTGCTGTGGGAAATACAGCTGAGGCCTACTTAACAATGGTGCATCCTCTCTCTGCAGGTGCGTGGAGCATACATTTGCCAACACAGGAAGAGGAGATGACATCAGAGCGAGTGTTCACTTCCCACTGTCGAGGAGCAGAATGTGGAGAACCACGAGGAGGAATAGTAGCAGCAAGAGGAGACGAGAGAGACATCCAAGAACCTGCTGTTGGAAAAAGAGAAGCAGAAGGTGGAGGTGGAGGAGATGACGCAGAAATGGACCTGCTGCTTGACCCTGCAGCAGTAAGTCAATGAAGGTGCTCTCCAAGAGCCACTGCGTACTGTTCGTAAGTAGATAGTGTGTGAAGTCCCTGGTTGAAGACTGAACGTGGGTAGGAAGAGGGAGGGAGAGGGGAGGATTCACAGAACGCCTCCTGAATCCTAAGGAATGATTGCTAAACTCCCGAATCATTGACTCATGACCTTGCCGTGGGAAATAGAGCTGAGGCCTCATTTACTCTGCAGGAGTGCATGAGAGCTTTCATTCGTCCACACAAGAAGAGGGAGGAGCATAGCCAGTGAACCCATCAGACTACCTGCGCCATCCGTTCATATCAGAACATTCATCAGCCCATGTGTTAATAAAGCTCTGTTTGTGTGAGAACCAGAAGAGTCTGGAGTCTTCCCTACCCCCCAAATGCCTCATAATGAGGAGTCCTCACAGACGTCCCCTTAAACACACACACCTCACACACTGAGGCTGCCAGGCAGACCTGTGAGAGCCAAGAGCTCTTTTGGATCTCCCACATGGGTGCAAGGTCCCAAGGCGTAGACAGGCTGGTTTGTGGGGTGTGGGCAGGCTGGGGTGTGGGGTTGGGCAGGCTGGAGTGTGGGGTGTGGGCAGGCTGGTGTGTTGGGTGTGGGAGGGCTGGTGTGTGAGGTGTAGGCAGGCTGGTGAGTTGGGGGTAGGCAGGCTGGTGTGTGTGGTGTGGGCAGGCTGGTGTGTGTGGTGTGGGCAGGCTGGTATGTGTGGTATGAGCAAGCTGGTGTGTGAGGTGTGGGCAGGCTGGTGTGTGTGGTATGGGCAAGCTGGTATGTGAGGTGTGGGCAGGCTGGGGTGTGTGGGGTGTGTGCAGGCTAGTGTGGGGTTTGGGCAGCCTGATGTGTGAGGTGTGGGCAGGCTGGTGTGCGGGGTGTGACCAGGCTATTATGTGAGGTGTAGGGTGTGGGCAGGCTGGTGTGTGGGGTTTGGGCAGGCTGGCTGCTCATCAGCAGACACCCCACTGCCTCCGCTCCTTCCTCACCAGAATCCTCCTTTTTGTAAAATGTGTTTACTTCATTCTGTCTGACAGGCAGAAACACAGAGCACTTGTGTCTTTTCGCTCACTCCCTAATGCCTACCCCAGCCAGTGTGGACCTAGGGGCTCCCTCCAGCTCTCCCACAAGGGTCACGGAACCCCAAAATTTGAGCCATCACTGATGCTTCCCAGGGTACACACTGGCACTGGCAGGAAGCTGGTTCACAAGTGCAGCTGGTCATTGAACCGGGCTCTGCACTATGTGATGCACACAACCCCTGGCCCCAGGACACGAGGCCTGCAGCCTGATCTCCTCTCACCCCAGGGTGTCATACCACCAAGGGCCTGAGGCTCTACATCCCCCTCTTGCTCTCAGGGAGGGCTGGCCGAGGTGCAGGGCCTCCAGCACCTCCAGGCCTCTTCATCTGAATGGAGAGATGGGATCATATAGACTAAGTACTGCTAAGACCCAAGGGCCTCAAATGACCCATGCATAACAGTTGCCTGTCTCTCCTGGAGCTTGAGATGTGCGTCTCTGCTGAATGAGGTCACTCCTGAATGGAATCACACAAGCCCCCACTTGAGCACTTGTGCATGGCTGGCCACAGTCTGAGCACACAGAGCACACATGCTGGGGTTGGCTGGGGTTTAGCACTGCTCTGGACTCTGCAAGTCAGCCCACCCCTGTGTCCCTGCCCTGCCACGGGGTGCATATGCTGCTCCCAAGCTGGATTGCTTGTGAAGCCGTAGTGGCCTGGGGGCAGAGGGAGTGTCCATCAAAGGCTGTGCAGGACACCCCGTCCCATCAATAGGACCCTGGAGCAGGGGACTGGGTCTGCAGTTGCTATAGGAGTCATCCTGGCTGCCTGTGTCTTCCCCATGAACCTGCTTTCTTGCCGTTAACCTGGTGTCTCCGCCTTAGTCAGATTTGCTGCAGGTGGCCAGACAGGCCTCTCCCGCAGCATCAAGTTCTGACTGTCCGTCCTTTACCATCCCCACGTATTGGGCAGCAGGCTCATACCCTGGAAGCCACCAAGCTGGGGTGTGATGCTGGTGATAGGACAAGGGCTAGGGGCATACAGGTGGTCAGGAAATGTGGGCAGACAGGGATATGGGTGTCGGGGATGTGGATGGTCTGGGGCTGCCAGTGGTCAGGCGATGTGGGCAGTCGAGGGATGTGGATGCCAGGGGGTGTGGGCGGTCGGGGGATGTGGGTGTCAGGGAGTGTGGGCGATTGGGGGATGTGGGTGGTCAGGGCTGTGTCGGGGGATATGGGTGTCAGGAAGTGCAGGCAGTGGGGGCAGCTGGCAGTCAGGGGATGAGGGCTGTGTTGGGGGATGTGGGCAGTTGGGGGCTGCCAGCAGTCGGGGGCTGCGGGCGGTCAGGGGGTGTGGGCAGTTGGGGTGTAAGCAGTCGGGCATGGGCAGTAGCAGGGTTGCTAGTTGTCAGGGTGCTGGGGGCAGTCAGAGCTGTCCTAGGCAGGTTCCTTTGTTATCAATTCACCTGCATGGGAGAGGAAAGTCAGCTCAGGAGGTTCCTCATGAGCAGTGAGCAGCCATGCCAAGTGTGGCCTGCTTTGTGTAGGTCTCCAGGCCCAGGTCCCGGGTGCTCAGCCAGGAGGGGTTTCTCCCAGGAGAGGCACCAGCCTTGTTCCTGCTGGACAAGAGATACCCGGAGGCCACCTGGGCCGGGGCCTAAGGCCAAGGTTTGTCTGTTTGCTGCTGAGCTGGGCTCCAGTCCCACCCTTGGGTCCCTTGCCCCCTGTCTTGACCCATTTTGGGTGCCCTGGCTGTGAGGAGCAGACATAGCACAGCACGTGTGCTTGTGTGAGCACATTTGTGTGCATATGTGCGTGAGTTCATGTTAGTATGCGCGTCTCCCCTACACTGTGCCTGCACAGCTCTTCTGAGGCCCAGGAGTCCTGACAGCCAAAAGTGTAAACAGAGATGCCGCCCGAGCCCGTGTTTCTGAGCTTGGGAATTCCAGCCTCATCCGGGGTCTGGCTGTGAGCTCAGCCTGGCAGGAGGTGTGACTGCCCGGTGCCCTGGTGAGGTACCAGGGATGGCTGTGTCTGGAGCCGCCTGTCCCAGGCCACGGTGCACAGCTTCGGACCCGCCTGCTGCGGTGGGGGTTGGGAAGCTAAGTTCAGCTTGGCCCCCCAGAGCCTGGGGCATGGACAACCTGTGAAGAGGGGCAGTGGAGGTCCCCGCTCTGTGCCCACGCACAAAGCAGGTGCTGAGTAGGGGTCCTACTGCTCCCTGAATCCCTTTAGAAATCAGGGCTCTGGAATGTCCCCCCAGTGCCCTGTGCCCCCAGGAGTTTGGATGCTGCCCCACCCTCTGCCACCCAGTCCAGCCAGGCTGTCCCATGTAGGACATGGGTGAGCTGTGAAGGTGGCAGGTGTCCAGAATGGGGACCCTGCCCACCCATAAGGACCAGGAAGCACTGAGGTGTGGCCGGCAGGGACCAGGGCCCCAGGCACTAGAAGGTGCCCTGTGCAGGGGAAGCAGACAGCCCTCGGCAGATGACCCCTGGACTGTGGGCACCCTCTGCTGACCTCATTGCCCTGGGGAACTATGGTGGGCATAGACTCAGCACCGCCCAGGCCCACTGGAGTAGGCCATACAGCAGCCCAGCAGAGACCTGGGGAAGGCCCTGGGCAGCAGTGGGTGATGCCCACGGCTAGCCTGACCCTGACCCTGGCATTGGACATTCGGGATCTGGGAGTGACAGCTCAGGCAGGGGGCAACAGACCTGAAGATCATGACCTCGTGGCCAGGGCTGTGTGTGTCTGGGAGGAGGGGTCCTTGTACCATCCAAAGGGCAAGCAGGCATCCCTCTAGGAGGGTTCAGGGTCCTTCGGGGTCCTTGGCCCCAAGTGGGGATGTGAGGAGAGATACGGGCTCTGGAAACGAGCTGGGAGCACTGGACTCTGCCAGGATTTGTCATTGCTCTCAGGTCATTTGCTCCCCTCCCCTGCCACCCTGCCGTGGAGCTCTGGGACTGGCCATGGTGGAGAAGGACCCTTTTGTGTCCATGTGGCCTGGGTAGTGTCCCAGCCTGTTCCCTGCCCTGACTCTAGCTGGGGCAGGGCCACCTGGCTCCCATAGTGTCCTCCCAGAACCCGGAGTCAGGCTTTGAGCCCTAGGCTGCCCGCCCCGCCCCCGCACACAGAGTGTCTGGACAGCACTGTAGACTTGCACCAGGACATTAGGGTCAGGGACGACTCAGAGTGGCGGAACCTGGGGCCTCAGCTACAGGCCCAGGGCCACCGAGAAGCAGCAGAGCTGCCTGTGGCAGAGCCTGCCTCGCTGAAAGTGGGAGGACTGTGTGTGTGTGCAGTGGCCAGTTGGCAGTGTTCCATGAGACTGGGCAGACCTGGTCCACTGAGGCAGGCAGCTGACCACTCCACTCCTTGTGGCGTTGGGTTCCACAAGTCCTGGACAGAGGAGCTGACTGACCTCGGAGCAGCCATTGTGGAGAAAGGGTTGGTCCCAGGGCCTGGGATCCAGCCATGCGGGTCCAGACCTCAGCAGGAGTGTGAGG